TTCCCAATGGTGTGCCAAGTCATGTTTATAAAGCAATTTGCAACCTAAAAATCAGAAAAAATAAACATTAGAAATACTAATATTCTATATTATTAATTATTTTTAATAAAGTAATTCTTTTTAAAATAATTATTTATTTATTTAATTCCACTTGTTATTATTTTAAAATTTTACCAGAGAGAGAAAGAGAAACGGAGAAAGCAAGCCACCAAGTCCAGGACTCAAACTATGCTCAGCCACATGGGAATCCAGTCTTTAACCACCACACCACCTGCTGGCCCACATATTATTAATTTAAATGCCCAGGACAAAGTTTTTACTCTTGGGGTCTGACCAATTAGCAGACTAAGAGATCAATTTAGATGATCAAACTAGCAGTTTTTTAAAAAAAGCACAGGAAGACAGAAAAAGACAGGGTAGCCAAACAATACAGTGTCACACACTTGCATAGTAAATTATTTCATGAAGCTTGTAATCTATTTGGGAATGTGAAAGAAAATATACTGGGTCACAATGTAAAATGTACTTCTGTGCTATGGGCACAGTGTTTTTTGAAAGCCACTGGTCCAGAGAGGAAATCTCATGTAATTTTAGAGTAAAACAAAACATTCTAAATATATAAAATAGTCACCTAATTAAAGATTGCAATCTACCTCATGTTGATTTGCATGCTCAGACCATAATGGTTTGTTTAAAACAATAAAAGAATACACTTAGTAACCTACTATAATTTAAGGTGTTCCATTTAGAAACATGAATACAGTACTATAATATTAACTATGTTTCAAATTTTAAGGATCTGTCACTTCATTTTAATACCTATAAACTATGACAGACTAGATAAAAAAAGAGTGAACTAAGTGTAAATGAATCAAAATGGCTTTGGCTAATATTATGCATAAAGGATAAAATAGACAAACTTACACAGTAATAGCTTAAATCATCAACTACTTTTCTTGAGACAGAGTCTCTCTCTAGGTTGCTCAGCTGATCTCAAACTTGTGATCCTCCTGCCTCAGCCTCCCAAATAGCTGGGATTATAGGTGGACACCACCACACCCAACTCTTCATCAACTTTAAAATAAACACATGCTCAGTAGTAAGATAATCTTGTTTTTACCTTCACTACAAAATGACTTGTCAGCACCTGAGAATCGCACAGTCTCCTTTATAATTTTCTCAATTTTACAATATTCACACATTGCCATTACATTATTTATTTTCTTATATTCATCAGAACAATTCTTGCCACAGAACTGAAACATTTTACCCTGCAAAGAAATAACCATTAAATACTAATTAAACATTTAATTTTACTTATGGAATCCTTAATCCCACCACTTTCAAAACAATGGTGTGTGTGTATATATATATTTTAAGACAGATGTTTTTGCTATAAGGCATATGCGCTTGCCAAAGAAACAGAGAGACAGAAAGTGAGAAATCATCACTCAGAGAGAACAGCCACGCCACAATCCCTTCTCTAGTCTCCTCTCAGGATCCTGAGCACACATGCCTGGCATGAGTTTTAAGCGGCTGGGTCTGGGACTTGAAGCACAGTCAACTACATTGAGTCCAGCGATGTAACCATTATGTCATCTGCTGGTCCCTAAATGGTATAATTTTGATGGTAAAAAGCTAAAGATAATTTTATAAATAGACCCATTATACTCAAATCATGATCATGAACCTATATCTTACCTTATAGTCAAGAAGTTCTGGTTTTGTAGCAAAAAGACGACTACAGTGCTGACACTTGAGTTTCACAATACTTCGTGTAAACCCAACATGCTGAGATTGGGCAGCAAGACGCTGGAGACCAGCTGCAGCAGAGCTACTAATGGAGGTGGGAGAGACAGTAGAGGTATTACCTCCTCCGGCGGACACTGTTGAACCTGTGGGGATGCTTACGATTACTTGACCCTGAGACAAGGGTACTACTGAAGAATTCATTCCAGTTGGCTTGTTGAATAAATTCTGAAAAAAACAAAACAACAAAAAAATCAATTTAACCATTGTTCAAAACAGTAAATATAGGCATTCCTCACTTAACAACCCAATTCCGTTTCTATGACTAGGTCAACAAGTGAACTGGTCGATAAGCGAGGCGCTTAAAGGTGATGTCTTGTGGTGTGTCATGGTGCCATAGGAAACTTTTCAATAGGTACCAAATGACACCACACTAGAATAATATAATTCTATCCATACAAAAACATACATTTAAGTGCCAGAAAGTGACAAGATACACCACAATACAATAATAGAAAGCCAATATAATCATTTAAATTTATTCTGATAATGGAAAGGTATAAAGGAAACTCCAAGTTGGTAACTAAACAAAATACGGAGTCCTGTGTGATGCGAATGATTCCTGTAGTGAATGGTAACTGACCGTGGGAATGAGGCAAAGACTGCAAAAGGAGATTCCTGAGACTCACACAGGCTGAGAAAGAGGACTTCCCAAAGTGGAGAGCTTGTGAGTCCGAGCAGTTGTTAAACAGGTAGGTTAAGTAAGCAGCAGCTATTGTAGGCCTATATGCCAAGCACAGTTTTACACATGTAAGGTATACCTGTGAGCAGGCAAGGATCCTGCCTTCACTCAGCTTACAAGGGAATGGGGGAGTTCTCACTTATAGCCAAAAAATAAATAAATAACCTTTTTCAAAAATGATAGTCACCCAACAATCTGAATAATAATAGTATCATTTAATTTTATCGAAGGCAGTTAAATGACATGCCTCCAAACACAGGATGAACTAAGAATCCAAGTTTAATAGGACTGAGAGAAATTTAAGCAATCCAGGCACTAGCAAATACTGGGAAAGTTTACATTTTGAGAGCAGGGGACTCACTGACTGAAGAGGAGGAAAATTCCTGAAGCCATACCTGGAAAGCTACCACACAACTGTAGCTGCAGAAGTTGCGAATACTTCCATCTGACATGGCTAGGTGATACTGAGGGATTGCTGAGGTTTTACAACTGTTACACTGAACTTGTACACCTTAGCAAATCAAAATAAAAACTAATGAGTAATATATACAAATGTATGAGAAAGTAAATAAATATTATACAATATATGAAAATTCACGGGCCAGGTTATGTTGTATGAACTGAAACTAAATCAAGTCCCATATAGACAAAAACTAACTTAACATTAAAAAATGTTCTTTTTAAAGTCTCTGAATCTGAAAAACAAAAGACTCTTGAAATCAATCAGGTGTGGAAAGAAAATACATTAAAGAAGCCATATGACATTCTTCTGATAAGGAGGAATGAGTTAATAGTAAGAATCAACATGTGATACTTTACAATAAAAATCTAAAAGTATTTCAAATTTACTAGTAACTTACTAAATTAGGACAAAAACATAAACCATGAAAACTAAGTGACATCTAATTTTTTTCTTTTTTAATATTTTATAGTTTATGAAACCAGTATTACCTGCAGAAGTAACCATTTTGACTCTATAAGCAGACAAGCAATTAACAGAACAGAAAAGCTCTGTCTTCCCCAAGCTATTGGTATTCTCAATCATTTCTGCCGAAGATCTCAATGATTTGCAAAGTGCACATGGTGTGATTTTGGCTGATTTCTATTAAGAAAACAAAACATTCATTTTTACCAAATTCCTAGTAAAGGCATAATTCTTTAAATATTTCTTTACTTTGCTGAAACACTTAGTAAGTAATTTTAAACTTTTATGATTGTAACCCTCAGAAAGAAATAAATTTTACTAGATGACCCGATACATACATATAAGGGGACTTAAAAAAGTTTGTTTAAAACAAAGAAAGGAAAAGAAATTAAAGTATGAGTAAATTTTGAATAAAAAAACCTGAAATCAGGGCCAGCAGGTGGCACAGTGGCTAAGGGCACTCGACACCCACATGGCCAACCACAGTTCAAGTCCTGGACTTGGCATCTTGCTCTCTCTCTCTCTCTGTGTCTCTCTCTCCCTTTCCCTCTCTGGTCAAATTAGAATAAATAAATAAAGTTACATAAAATAAGTCTTTAAAAATATCTGAATTCATCTGTCTTCTTAATATGTATTTTTCATGAACTTTCTTTTTTAAATTTTTTTTTGGAGATGTTTTCGCTATAGGGCGCGTGCGCTCGCCGGACAGACAGAGAGAGACATAGAGACAGAAAGTGAGAAATCCCCCCCCCAGAGGGGATGGTCACGCCGCAATCCCTTCTCCTCCATTCTCCTCTCAGGATCTTGGGCATGCACGCACACGCACCTGGTGTGAGTTTTAAGCCACCAGGTCTGGGACGTGAACCGTGGACGACTACGTGGGAGTCCAGCGACATAGCCATTACGCTAACAGCTGGTTCCCTTTTTCATGAACTTTTGAGTACTACTCACACTTCTGAGGTTTTGCATTTGTGCACTATATAGGTATGCATATAAAATGAAAAGTATTTCCATGATAACCTGTGATACACTTTGATATTTCCCATTCTCTTCTGTTTTATTAAAAAAATAATGGTGGGGGGCCAGCAGGTAGCTTTGTGGTTATGGTGCTGGACTTCCACATGGCTGGCCATGGTTGGAGTCCTGGACCTGGCAGCTTGCTATCTTACTCCCCCCCTTCCACTTCTCTCTGGTCAAATTAAAATAAATTAATTAATTAAATAATTATTTAAAAAATCATTCTTATTATAACCTAGTAATTAATTTCATGATCTACTAATTTGCTGTAATCACAGGCTTAAAAACATTATTTTAAACAAAAATAAAATAACGAGTTCATACTCTTACATTATACTGTCCTAAAAATTGGAAGAATCCTCCAAAATGGGTACTATATATAGCAATAAAATGTGAAGTTAAAGAAACATGTCACATATTCAGTACAACTTACAGAGTATGTCCAGTACCAATTAGAAGATTGTTTTAAAAAGTTATTTTTATGTGTGAGAGACAGAGAGACACATACAGCATCCCCAACAGGGTCTCAACACCATGATCCGCACTCAGCTTTAGTCAGCTCCAACTCACAGGCACATGTCTGTCTGGTATACTCAGGGAGGTATCCGGGTGTAAATCTAGAGCCTTTCTATACAGGTCAGCCTAACAGAGCATTACATTTTACCACTGCACCACCGTCTGATTCTCTAATTAGTGAATTTTACTCTATTCACACTGTAAAAAATTTAAAAGTAATTTCAGGAGAGACAGAAATAGAAAGACACACCCTCAACTGGGTCTCACTGCACCTCCCTACAGCGTATCCTAGCTAGCCAGGATCATGGGTACAAATGCACACACCTGGTGAGTACAGGCTGACCCAGGATCTGAATCTGAACCCCAATCTATCATATGGCTTCCAGCACTGCACAGCACAGAGCTATTATTGTGGCACTGTGGCTGGGCCTCTATTCCCTCTTAAAGGATATATCTGTGAGACATGATATTAAAATAGATACGTATTAAAGTAAGATATGCCTGAATTCTGGAAAAGTCCTCTAATCTCCAACCCCATTTCCCTTTCCTCTTCAATAAGGACCGCAAACAGGAACTTCAGTATAAAATTCATTTAAAACTTCTCTGAGGGCTAGCAGGTGGCATGGTAGTTAAGGGTACTGGACTTGCACATGGCCAAACGTGGTTCGAGTCCCAGACCTGGTGGCTTGCTCACTTTCCCGTGCTCGCTCTCTCACACTGTCCCTCTCTGGTCAAATTTAAACAAACAAACAGACTAATTAATTAATTCTCAAAAAAAAAAAAAAGTTCTTCGAAGTTTGTGCTGGTAGTCTCATCTTGCTCTATCAAGTAGAGCTGACTATGCGTCCCTATGGCCCACTATACACAGTAAAGTAGCCATCCCTTGGTAATGGTAGAGGGGAGGAGAGGATTGGATCCAGGACTGCCTGCAGATACCAAAACTCAGCCCTTAAAGTGGCATGATACATGCACATAACTTAGGGATTCTCCCATATAGTTTAAATAATCTCTACATTACTTATAATACCAAATGCAAGGTAAATGCTATGTATATAATTATTATACAGTATTGTTTATGAAATAATGAGGAAAAAATATCTGCACATGTTCAGAATTTGTTTCTAATATTTTTGAACTGTAGTTGATCAGTTCTACAGATACGGAAATCATGGACAGGGAGGACCGACTACTTCCATGAAAGATCTCTATACACTCATTTATATGTTCCTGTCTCTCGACATGAAGCCTATCAAATCAGGAATTACATTTAATGTTTGCTGAGTGAAATACATACAAGGAAGAGAGGACAGGAACAGGAATTTTAATTCAAAATGGGCTAGGTTCTACACTAGGTGACTAGGTGCTCTCTCATTCTTCCTTTCTTTTTTTTAGAGGTTTTTGCTATAGGGTGCATGCGCTCGCCAGACAGAGAGACAGAAAGTGAGAAATCACCCCCTCAGGGGGGATGGTCACGCCGCAGTCCCTTCTCCTCCATTCTCCTCTTGGGATCTTGGGCACGCACGCACATGCGCCCAGCATGAGTTTAAACCACCGGGTCTGGAACTCGAACCACGGTCGACTACATGGGAGTCCAGCGACATAGCCATTACACTAACTGCTGGTCCCTCATTCTTCCTTTCTATAACCCTAAAATAGGGCTTTTAGTAGTATTATAGCCTCATACGGATAAGAATGCTGGGACTCAGAGAACTTAACTGCTTTTCCCAAAGTAAAATTGCATCTGAGCAAAAGGCTACAAAATCATATCTAAATTTGCCTTTACACCTAAATCCCAGTTCTTTTTCTACTGTATTATATATTAGTATATAAAAATAATTTAGGGGACTAGCAGGTGGAATGGTGGTTAACATGCTGGACAGTCCCACATGGCTGACCATGGTTCAAATCCCAGACCTGGCAGCTTGCTTTCTCACCCCACCCCCCACACACCACCATTTGTGTGTCTCTCTCTGGTCAAATTAAAATAAAATGAATAAATAAATAAAATTAAATAAAAATAATCTTTTAAAAAATAGTATATAAAAAATTTAATAGGTATTTGGCTAAATAAAAGTGAATAAATCTTGGGACCAGCAGATGGCATAATGTTTACATTGCTGGACTCCCATGTAGTCAACCACAGTTCAAGTCCCAGACCCGTGGCTTAAAATTGATGCCAGGCGCATGTGTATGTGAGCTCAAGATCCCAAGAGAATGAAGGAGAAGAGATCTCAGCGTAGTCATTGCTTTCTATCTCTCTGTCTCTCTGATGAGCCCATTTTCCTTAAAGCAAAAACACTCTCTAAAAAATAAAAAATAAACTTAAAATTAAGGTGTTTCATCCTATTTCTCTTTCTCTTATGGAGTATAAATCATCTTGCAATGGACTGACTCCAACTATTATTTTTAAAATTTTTGCTATAGAGCACATAGCACATATACTTGTAAGGGAGAAGGGAAGTGAGAAATCACTGCCTAGAGCAATGCCATCACCCCATCTCCTCCAGGATCCTCTCAGAATTCTGGGCACGCACACACACTTGGCATGACTTTCCAGCCGTGGGGCCCAAATTCAAATCACACAGCTGGCCCTGAAGGTTCCAGTGCCTTAACCTCCATACCACCTGCTGGCCCTCAACTAACACTTTTTTAAAAGGCAGAAGGCACCCTGTGCTCACCAGAGAGAAAAGAGAGACAAAGATGAGGGGCAGGAAGAGAGACAAAGATGAGGGGTAGGAGTAGAAAGCAACCCCCAATGGAGTATGGTCATGCAGCAATCCCATCACTTCCATTCTTCATCAGTATTTTGGGCATGCACATGCAAATATCCAGCATATTTCTCAAGCTGCACACATGGATCTGAACTGCAGTCAGCCACGTGAATCTAGATCCCTTAAACACTGGGTTACAGGGCTCACCCTCTGTAACTTTTAATACCCAATACGACATCAGGAAAAGAATGGTTTTTTTGGACAAAGATGTTACACATGAAAATAATTAAAGTTTTCACCCCATGTGAGAGTAAAGCGAAGAATAAATGGTAAAGCTAAGCCCTTTCACTGAGTTTGCACATTACCAACAAATACACTAAAATATTATAGAATGTTGAAAAGTACAAAAATGACTGCAAAGTTGTTTTTTGGGTTTTTTTTTTTGGGGGGAGAGGTTTTCACTATAGGGTGTGTGCGCTCACCAGACAAAGAGAGACATAGAGACAGAAAGTGAGAAATCACCCCCCAGGGGGGATGGTCACGCCGCAATCCCTTCTCCATTCTCCTCTCGGGATCTTGGGCACGCACGCACACGCACCCAGCGTGAGTTTTAAGTCACTGGGTCTGGGACACAAACCGCGGTCAACTACGTGGGAGTTCGGCGACATAGCCACTACGCTAACTGCTGGTTCCCCAATGACTGCAAAGTTTTAACAATTTACAAGCGATTTCCCAATTGTCACTATTAAAGACATTAAATTCACCAGTTTCCGTGAACTGTGTAACAAAACACTATGTTAAGAAAAACAGGGACCAGGAAGTGCACTGAAACAGGGAGCCACCATAAAACTTGACATGTAAAAAATATTTACTATCCCTTTAGATTTATCACTTTAAAACTACTATTTGGTCAAAATTTGTTAACAACATAAAAGTACATAGGTAAACCAAAATGTATTTCAAAGGGGCTAGCAGGTGACGTAGTGGTAAAGCTGCTATACTTCCACATGGCCAACCATGTTTCTAGTACTGGACCTGGAGGCTTCAAAATCATGCTGGGTACATGTGCGTATGTGCCCCAAATCCTGAGAGAGTGAAGGAGAAGGGACTGCATTGTGGCCATTCCCCTGAGGGTGATTTCTCACTTTCCATCTCTCTGTCTCTCTCTAGTGAGCACACACACCCTATGGCAAAAACTCAAAAAAACCCCAAAAAACAAAAAAAATGTATTCCAAAGATTAGAGCTACAAACCAAAAGGTTAGGACTGGTTATCTCTAGAGAGAAGTATCATATTTCCTCCTTGTGGTTTTTTTTTTTTACATTTCAAAAATATGAATCACGTTTGAAATGAATAAAAGTCGTATCCTAAAATTTTGCATTTCAATGTATGAGCAGAGAAACTGCTACCTGGAGAGCTCTATCTACGGCAGCGTACTGAACACACATTCAACAAGTGTAATGTAAAGGATATTACTTATTCAAATAATAGGCTCTTCCTTTTCTTTTCTTTTTTTTTTAACATTTTTCATAAATAATTCCCAACAAAAAACTTTAAGTATTCCTAAGTTTAGAAACCCCTGAATTGAACAAAAACACTGAGATTACTTATGTTCATGTACCTGCTTGTATGCTGTGACACACGCTGAACTACAGAACTTCTTAGACTGTCCCTCTATCTGAAGCATGTGGCACTGTCCAGAGCCACTGTAACAGTAACCCCCACAGTTCTCACAACAGTTCATGGTGAGGTTGTTAGCAGACCGAAACTTAGAGAAGCAGGCATCACTGCAAAGTTTATGCACCACATTCTGATAATTGACTTCGTGTCGAATCTAGGAATTAAAAACAACATACAAACAATAAGCGAAGATTACCAAAGCTGTTCTTTCTGTGCAAACATCAGACTCATCCCCAGTCAATAAAGTAAAAAGGTAACTTACAACAGCGATCTTCTGACACATGCTGCATTTGGTTGAAATGCTATTTGTATTTATGGTAACAATGGGCTTTTTTTTCAGTTCATATGTTGACAAACATGATTGACTGCAAAAATCTTTAGTAGTGGTACTGTTTTCAAACTGGGCACTGATCACATCCTTTGGGTTTAAAATGTCCCTAAAAATGGTAACAAAGATAAGATAAGCCACACAATATTCATTTTTCCCCCCTTTTTGTGAGCTAAAATACCCAAATAAGGCAAAAAACACTTAAAGAGTGTGGGGAAAGGGTGCTTCTCAAAATTTAAAAACCTAAGTTTCCTTAAACTTATAATTAACTGCTTTGGCCCTGAAGTTCTTTGTATAAAGAACATCTAATATATCACCTACTTTATAGAACTATTGGGAAAATTAGTATGTTTCTAAGACCAAAAGGAAATACACCAGATAGTTAGCATTTATTTTCTCTATAGGCCAGATGATAGGATATTTTAATATTCTTTAGACTAGTCTGAATTTTTTTCTTTTAAGAGTTATACCATAGGCTATGTGGTAGAGAGAGAGACAGAGAAAAAGAAAGTGAGAAATCGTCCCCAGGGGGGATACCCACATTGCAATCCCTTCTTCTCTTGGGATTTTGGACATGTGCACACACGCACTCACACCCAGGCTGTTTTTCTAGTCACTGGGTCCAAAACTTAAATCATGAAGTCAGCCATGGGGGATCCAACACCTTAAACACCATGCATCCTGCTGACCCAATAGTCTGAATTTTAAAAATAGTCTTTAAAAATAGAATTACACTTGAAATTCTTACAAACTACTATTATATAGAAGTGAATATACACTCTATACTACACAGTGAATATTCTGGCATGGCATGGATATAAAACCCAACATTTCCATATATAAATAATGTATAAATATTAGTAGCAAAGGCAATGAAAATAAAAATCCTAAATGTTAGGGTCCCTACCACTCTAACCATATCCCATCACCAGATCAGTCTTTCTATACTTCACCATGTATTAGATCGTCAGCCTCCCAGAATGTTGCTTTTTACTACTGCACCACTGTCCTGCCCCTAGAATATTTTTTTAGAAGAGATTACAAATATCTCTGCTTTAATAAAAGATAAAAATAAAGATAATGGGTAACGACCATGAGGGACATCATGGACCATACTATTCTGTAATGCCATCTTCAATACCCCACTCTAGTCTGCTTTGCTTTCTCTGTTTTTCTTTTTTGTCTTTACTGCTCTTTTTAACTAGGTTTTACATGCTTCAGAGGGTGTTATTTCCTCGGCAGTTATGTCTAGCCACATATTAGCTAAACCCTGAGTTGAAGATACGGTTCCTGCATGAGTTCAAGCAGTCCATAGTTGTTGGGATAATAGAAGAATAATTTACAAAATTCAATATAGCATAATTCTTAAAATTTGTAACTTTAAATAATTTTGAAAAATATATGTATAATGTACTATAAAAACAGTAATATAAGGAAACAATTATTTTAGACCATATGCACCATGAAAGAAGATTCAAAAAAAGGTAACATTTTAGCTAAACCTTAAATATAAATGCGCCAGAAGATTAAGAGGTTATTGAGGGGCCAGCAGGTAGCATGGTGGTTAAGATACTGGACCCCCACATGGTCAATTATGGTTTGAGTCTTGGACCTAGCGGCTTGCTTTCTCACTTTCCCTCTCTTGCTGTCTCTCTCTAGTCAAATTAGAAAAATAATAATGATAATGAAGAATAAATTAAATATTGGAAAGAGCATTCATTAAGACCATGGAAGTATAAAGGTGGCTATATCTCAACATTCTCAGGATGCTTAGAGTCCAATTAGATTACATTTTAGTGTATTAGTAGGTTCTTATACCAGAATGAGAAGTGATCTCATTCCAGTTAATGAAAATTCAGAAATGTTACAATCTGGAAATGGTTACTTCTTCAAAAACTATTATACAAAGAATCTAATCTTTCTTCCTTTCTCTTTTATTATTTTTTCACTGTCAGAAGGCACATGGATCTGCCAGAAACAGGGGGAGGGAGGGGGGAGGAGAGAGAGAGAAGTACCATGCCCAATAAAGCCGTTTCCATGAAACTCTTCCTCTACTTCTCCATTCAGTCAGGATTTGGGGCACACATGTACAAATTCTGGCATGTTTTTCAAGGTGCCATGGCCAAGATTCAAACCATGGTTGGCCATATGGGATCCAGCTCCTTTAACATGTAGGCTGAAGAGCCAGTCCCAAGAATCTGATTTTTTTTTTTAATTAAAAAAAAATTTTTAATTGGCCTCCTGCATGTATGATCAGCTTGTTTTCTTTTAAAATTGTTTAATTTAATTAATTTATTTAAATTTGACCAGAGAGGGAGAGAGGGAGAGAGAAAGACAGAAAGCCGTTAGGTCCAGGACATGAACCGCAGTTGGTCATGTGGAAGTCCAGCACCCTTAACCACCACACCACCTGCCAGCCCCTGATCTTTTTTTTTTGGAGAGGTTTTTGCTATAGGGTGCGTGCGCTTGCCAGACAGACAGAGACAGACAGAGATAGAAAGCGAGAAATCACCCCCCAGGGGAAATGGCCACGCTGTAATCCCTTCTCCTCCATTCTCCTCTTGGGAACTTAGGCACGCACGCACACGCACCTGGCGTGACTTTTAAGCCACCGGGTCCGGGACGCGAACCGCAGTTGACTACATAGGAGTCCAGCGACATAGCCATTACACTAATGGTCCCTCCCCCTGATCTGTTTTTTAAAGAGAGATTTTTGCTATGCTGCGCTCAACAGAAAGACACTGAGAGATAGAGAAAGAGGAAGTGAGAAATCACCCCCCCCCCCCCGAGGGGATGGCCACATTGCAATCCCTTCTCCTCGGGATTTTGAGCATGTACACACATTAGCCTGGTGTGACTCAAAAAGTGGTAGACTACATGGGAGCCTAGCAACGTAACCATTGTGCCACCTGCTGGTACCAAGACTCTTTCTAATAATATTACCAAAATTATCCTCCAAAGTATATCTATTACATAGAACCTGTAATAGCTTTTTTAAAACAAAATGTAGGTCACCACCATTAAGGAAATCTAAAAAGTAAATGATGATTACTCAAAATATATACAGAATTTAGGTTAAATTCAAGAAGCTAAAAGATATGGTTAACAAAATATTAAGAAAAATAGAGATGCCGGGGCCAGCAGAGGGCATAACGATTCTATTGCTGGACTCCCACAAAGCCGAACACAGTTCAAGTCCCTGATCTGGAGGCTTGAAATTCATGCTGGGTCTGTGTGCACGTGTGCCCAAGATCCCAGAAGAATGGAAGAGTAGGGAATGTGGCATGGCCACCCCCCTGCAGGGTGATTTCTCGCTTTCTTTTTCACCGGCTAGGGCATGCACCCTATAGCAAAAGTCCCTATAAAAAAGAAAAAAAGGGGCCAGCAAATGGTGTGGTGGTTAGGGCACTGGACTCCCACATGGCTGACTGCAGTTTAAGTCCCAGACCTGGTGGCTTGCTTTCCCACTTTCCCCTCCTCTCTCTCTGGTCAAATTAAAAAATAATAATAAATAACATTAAATAATTATTTCAACGGGGCCAATAGTTGGCGCAATGACTATGTCGCTGGACTCCCATGTAGGCGACCACGATTCAAGTCCCAGATCTGGTGGCTTAAACTCACACCCCGGCATTGTGTGTGCGCGTGTCCATGATCCCGAGAACAGAATGGAGAAGGGATTCCAGCGTGGCCATCCCCCCGGGGGGGGGGTGGGGGGCGGTGCTTTCTTGCTTTCTGTGGTCAAATTAAAAAATAATAATAAATAACATTAAATAATTATTTCAACGGGGCCAATAGTTGGCGCAATGACTATGTCGCTGGACTCCCATGTAGGCGACCACGATTCAAGTCCCAGATCTGGTGGCTTAAACTCACACCCCGGCATTGTGTGTGCGCATGTCCATGATCCCGAGAACAGAATGGAGAAGGGATTCCAGCGTGGCCATCCCCCCGGGGTGGGGGTGGGGGGCGGTGATTTCTTGCTTTCTGTCTCTGTCTTTCTGGTGAATGCACGCACCCTATAGCAAAAACCACTCAAAAAAAATTTTTTTTTAAATAATTACTTCAAAAAAAAGAGTTCAGGAAGTAAAATGGAGTACAAGGAAAAATAAGACTGGTGGTTAAGGACGAAATCGACGACAGAATAAGGCTTTCTGTAAAAGGAGAAAGAAAAAGTAAGACAGAAAATGAAGACAAGACGGAGGAGATAGGCAGGTAAAGAATACCTTAAAGAACAAAAAGCGGAAAATGAAAAAGAGTGAAGAATAAAAAGTATGAAATAACATGGGACCAGCAGGTGGCATGGTGGTTAAGACTCTGGACTCCTGCATGGCTGAAAGAAGTTCAAGTACTGGACCTAGTGACTCTGTCTCTGGTGAGCAAACGTGTACTATAGCAAAATATAAAAAAATAAGAAAATAATTCTAAAAAAAAAAACACAAAAAAGATAAGTGAAGGAAGAGGCAGAACACTTAGAAGTCAAGAAATAACAGGCTACCCCCAGCCTGAGCACCCCCTCCGTGCTGACCTAGCTTAAGAATACTCTAAGGACCGTAAAAAATTCTGTAAGAACGCTGAAGAGTTTACAAAGAAATATGGGGAAAAGCGACCTGTGGACTAAAATCTGCCACGTTTGATCCCAGCAAGTGTGAACAGAGACCCTGAGCAGTCCATCAGACACCCCGCAAAGCAGGACTCTGTGGAAAATTGACACGGGCCACCGCCCGGCATTCGCTTATGGCAGTTACTAACTTTCTACAGTTTTCTCTTTTTTTTTGGAGAGATTTTTCACTGTAGGGCGCGTGCGCTCGGCTCGCCAGACAGACAGAGAGAGACATAGAGACAGAAAGCGAGAAATCACCCCCCAGGGGGGATGGTCACACCGCAATCCCTTCTCCTCCA